ATGGGTATGGGTTTGCAGGATTTAAGGAACAGTGGAGGACAGTGGGTCTTGGAGATGTCTCATTCATAGGGTCAAGATCAACTTGAGGATTGTTAACAACAACAAAAACAAATGTTTCCATTCAAAGATATAGTCTGTAGAATCAGTATGTAAAGAGATCTTGTAGCACTGCAGTTTGCATTTTTAGACAATTAGGACTAAGAATCTCTTGCTATTCGATTGCTAACCACTGGCAGGTCCTGATCTACGTCTTGCCCACCCTTCCTTCAAGGTGCCATAAGAAATATTGCATTGCAGATCCAAGACTTGCAGAGTTGAAGCCTCAGGTCTTTTTAATGGGAAGGGATCAATGAGTTCATCTGCCACACTCTCCTCATGCTTCTATGTCCCTTGGAGAGGTTAGTTGTTATCCTGTTGGTTGAGATGAAGAAATCCATTTTCCTGGCAATGTGAGCTGTCCCCACTGTAATGAAGTTATTAGGAAGTGCCGTAGTTTGGAAGGGGATAGTAAGACCTGTTAACTTTACAAAAGACCTGCTCTTGGCACAGATGAAGTAGTCTGTTGATATGGCTCAACATAGCTGCCTGAATTTTTGGATCCTCCTTTACCGGCATGGTTATGGGGACTATCAAAATTTACCACTGCTGCTGATGCATTATTTTTCAGGATCCTAGTTTTGGCATACATGTGTAATGTATAAGAGAGAGAGAAGTGGAAAGGGAGGGAGGAAGGGATGTCTCTTTAAAATCCTATACATAATATGCCTCACATACATATGATTAGGTTGGGAACATGATTAAATATGTAATCCCCAAAGATGCCCAGCTTGAGACTAACAGCATTGCCTATAGCTAAGTCCTTCCTGTCAACCCCCAACTTATCATTTTCTGCTTCAGAAGACAAAAGTGGAGCTCTATCTGACGTTAACTGGGCCCCCCAGCTCTAATCCACTCAGTCCCTTGGAAAACTTGTCCCCACCCTTCTCCCCATTACATTAAAAAAAAATCCTTACAAGAGATCTCTTTTACAGCTTTCCTAAGGCAACAGTCACATTTGTTGTTGTTATGTGCCTTCAAGTCAACTCCAGCTTATGGCCACTCTATCATTAGATTTTCTCGGCAAGATTTCTTCAAAGTTGGTTTGCCTCTGCCTTCCTTGGGGGCTGAGAGAGTCTGACTTGCCCAAGGTCACCCAGTGGGTTTCCATAGCTGAGCGGGGATTTGAACCCTGGTCTTCCAGTGTCTTAGGGGGGTTGCAGACTATCAGAAATAGTGCAAATTGAGTCCACT